AGCATACTCGCGCTACTACTGAGCAATGCCAGACCGAACTTCCCGACCTCAAACGTTGTGGGCGGGACTAAGTTCGGAATGGCACCCAGGCTAGTTGACCCCCTCCCCTGAGGAGAAATCCATGATCCAGTCGTTTTTGGATCAGAAGCATGGTTTCATATTACATCACTTCCCGATAGGAATGTGTGGATTTTTAGAATTCGTAGTAAAATTTGCTGTGCCATGTACCAAGGAGCTCAGTACTCCTGTGGGATTAACATCAGAGCTGTGAACGCAGTTACCCATCATTTCATTCCTTATTATTTTGCTTTTAGAAGAAATGACTTCGACCTTAGCATCAGACTGTAACCATGGTAAAACAAACGATTCTCCATAAATAAATCGGATCATTTTAGGTGCTTAATTCCAGCATTAATCTAGCATTAGCATGTCTGCAGTAGAGACTGACACCGGAGTGGATTTTCACTCCTGTCCCGTCCCATTCCCACAGAAAAAAAATTGTGTCCCGTCCCGATCCAGGGTCAGAGTAGAAATCTAAATCCTGTCCCGTCCCACTCCTGGTGAAATTACTCCCACTCCCATCACGCTCCCATTCAGAATGACTCCCGCTCCTGCACCACTCCCATTCTTGTTTTTCTTTTTTTTTTGAGCGCAGGTGAAAAACTCAGAGCGGAAGCATTGTTGGTTTTTGGGTCGTGTAGTTTTTTTGACTCGCATTATAGTGTAGGCTTCAAGTAAAAAAACTACAAAATGACGGCGCCGCGCCAGTACTGGATTTTTTTCTTGCTATTTTATTTTATTTTTTGGCATCGATCGTAGTTTTTTTTTTAGTTACTATTGGTTTGCTCCCCCTCCTGTCTGCTCCCGTTAATGTTTAATCCTGTACCGTCCCAATCACATGATCGTTACTAATACTGACTCCCATCCCACGGGAATCCCGTGACCCGTGGGATTCCCGAAAAAATGTCAGTCTCTAGTCTGCACCATGAGTGGTCCTGCATGGAGTAGTATGAGCAGCTCTTTGGAGGATTGTAAAGATGCTGACGCCTTTTTTCTCCAAATGATCTTTAAATTCACTCCATAAAGCTGCAGAGGTTCTTCATAACTCCATCTGAATGTATGATTTTCTTTAATCAGAGCATGAAGAGAAATGAAATGTATCCTGATTAGTGAGAAACGATGTGTTTTTTTTCTGTTTTCCAGACTGTGAGGTCTCTCATTCGAAGAAAGGCAGGAAGGCGTTGAGCCAGCAGGCAGAGATGGAGGCCACGGCGTGAGGGTTTCCCTGCTGCTGCCTCTCAGAGACTCCAGCGATTATCAATCCGTACCTTCAGGGCTCAAAGGAAAACCTATTTCAACAAGTCATTTCCAAACCTACCATCTGGACACCTAAGTGAACACATTGACACGGAGCCGCCTGGGATTAATCTGACTGTGTGGACTTCCCTTGTAACTGAAAAGTGGATCAGCGCTGAGAGAAGCTTCAGGACTGTAGCCGGATCTTTTTCTGGCGTGAAGTCATCTCAGGCTGCTTCTGGTAACCCGTTTATTGGATGTGTTTGTTCTTTCACATGTTAATGATGATCAATACATTGGTTTCTGAGATGGATTCTTGGAGAAGGAGCTTCTCAGCCAGAAGCAAAGTGGAAGAGACAGACTGTGTACCATAGCCAAGCACCCCAATATATCACATTATTTAAAAACAAATGTTCCACAGCTGTGCTACAGGCCTGGATTGCATAATCAAAGCTGTATGTTGGTTTTTTTATTCTCTGTTCTCTGTATTTATCTGTTTTTTTATGTGAGCAGAAAGGAGGAAGCATGAACTTGATCAACTGACGGCATATTTGCCTTCCTTCTCCTGAGCTCTGTGTTCAGTACAAACCTGGTTCAGTTGTTTTCTCCTGCGACTCTTTGTGGAAAATGATGAAAGATGTTGAACCGGCAGCCGACTTTAGTTTGAGGTTCTGGATGTTTGAAAGGAATCTGGGGAGAAATTAAACTTTTTTTAAAAAGACATCGGTGTTCCCTAAAGTCTTTGGCTGACAGTCCTCAGCAAAGAGCTGAGAGCTGCAGTAGAGTTAGCAGCTGGTGAAGGCAAGGTGATCTACAGGCGTTGGTCACTTCCTGAACAGGAAACCTCCTGCTTTATCCAACGCTCTGATGGAGAATTAAGAAGTACCCAAACATAGTTAGTGCATCATCTCAGGAAATATCCTGGACGTCCAATGTTTAAAGCTATAGAGGACAATCTTTTATTTCCTGGTAGATCATCTAAATAAGTGGTCCTTCTAATTGTCAATCATTCTGCTGATATGTTTATGTCAGACCGTGCTACGTGCTCATCCTGGTAGCTGTATTTTCTTTGCATGCGCACTTTTAGGCGTATATCTGTGGTGAGCTACGGTTTCAGAAAGTCATTGAAGCTCACCTTTCTCACTGCGGTTCTTTGAAAATGGCGGAGGGTCGTAAGAGAAAAAGTGTCTATGAAGTGTAAGGGAAGAAGAGGCAGATTTATCCCAGAATGCTTTGAACACAGAGCTCTCTTTACAGCGGCCCATCGTCAATGTAGGGTGCGCTACCTGACAGCAGCGACTAATAACAAAGATTTTGCAGGCACTGTGCAGCGGAGGAGGAATTACGTGACCAACGGACTAAAAAGTAGTGATCATCCATCTGAGCGGTCAGTTGTCATATAGTCCCCGTTCTATATAGTCATTGAGGGATTTAGGGGTTAGGGCAGATGTTCGGGCACAGAAAGCTTGTATGCGTGCACAGAGCGTGCACAAGGAGAGATGGGCTCGTGCTTGTGTTTCGTTCCATCTTTGAATCTGAGAAATGAAAACCAGAGAAGAAGAAGCTGTTAGGCTAATGCTGTTAGGAGACGCCTGACTTTGGCTGTGTCCGGATGTCCGTCCTAATCATTATATAGGGTAATATATAGTGGTTACGCCATTGGTAATTGAGTGTCCGAACATCTAGTGGATGAAAAAGTAGTGGAGTCAAAATTTCAATGCATCTTAAAAAGTAGTGATCATCCATTTGTCTTACTATCTCTGTTTGGCCAGAACCCTTTAACGTTGACGTTGGCATGGTGACCACATATACATATTTTTGTTTTGGATCAGTCAAAATTTATAAAACAGTTATTTAGAAAAAAAAACATTTTCTTAGCAGAATGTATAGCTTTTCTCAGACGTTCTGTGCATGTTTCTAAATAAACGTTTTGATGGAAAAGTTGGAGCTATAACCTTTAAATAGAGTGGAGACCATCTCCATGGAAACAACTTTTAAAGACATTTTGCAGCAGCGGTCTTCAGTCAGGATTTCAGTCATATAAACTTACCATTAAACCTGAATATATTATCTTTAAAATCAGAGCAGTTTGTTTGATTTCATTTTTTAAAAAGCGCAGAAAGCCATAAGGAAGCAGCGAAGTGCTGAACTGATGGTTTATTCCTTCTCTTATGATGCTGATGAATTAAGGAACGCCGCTTCGCTGCTCCAAAGGTCAGAACAGACGCCACAGAGCGACGCTGTCCTGGACGTTGCTCTTTAGTAACGTGATTTCCACTTTAACTGTTTAGTTTGTACCTCAGGGAATAAATAAAACTTTACTTTAATGAAGCAGCTTCTTCCTCTGCCGGCCTGTATGACAGTGAACAGAGGATTTAATAAACCATATGTTTGCTCACAAAGCTCCACCTCTGGTTCTGTGACCTTCTGCTCTTGGTGCAGCTTCCCATCCAGAACCTCCTCGGTGAAACCGCTGCATTAAATCCTCGACTTTTTCCTGCTAAATGCCCCTTTATTCGTCCCACTGTTGGATGGGACGTCCTGTTTTGGTCCATCAAGCATCTGTTAGCGCTGATCCGAACATTTGTCCAGCTAGTTACGGACATTTGTTCCGCTAGTTACGGACATTTGTCCAGCTAGTTACGGACATTTGTTCCGCTAGTTACGGACATTTGTCCAGCTAGTT